ACTTGAAAGCTTGGTTTTGGGAAAACTTGAATTCACCACAGAGAACATGATAACTTCCCAATTGTTAAGACTTTTCTGATGAGATTGATGGTAATATTTACAAATGTGATTTTTTTATTTCGTATAATGAACTGTGTCAACATGTGGAACATCTACGTAATTCAGTAAACCAACATTTTACAAATAACCAACACATGAGGTTACAAAATTATGCATGGGTAAAAGATCCAGTCTATGTATAGGGTGGACCAATGGATTTAATGTAACAGAATGCAAAGCTTTTTGATATAGTTTCAGTTTCCACAGTGCAACTTATCTTAAAGAAACTACCACTTGTAAGTGGCCAAGGGGTGGCTGGTGCAGTGTAATGGAACTGGACCCACATAGGAAGGGTCCTAGGTTCACATCCCAGGATCTCCCTAAGCACACCACACACATGCATCTAAGTGCTTGTGATGCAGGTCAGTTGGGCTGGAGGTGGACCATGATGGCATGAGGACTCTTGGAGGTACCTGTCCAGGGAGCAACAGCCAGTGGCACAGAGGTTAAGGTAACTGGATACCACATAAGTAGCTACAAAGTTCAAGTGCTGTACCTGACAACGTGAGAAATACACTAGTTGCATGCCTAAAAGCCCCCAAAAGAGGGAGAAATAGAGAAGAAGGGATTATAGTGTGACTGTTCCCCATGAGGGTTGCTTTCTCACCTTCCCATCCCTACCTTGTACAAAAGCATACTCTCTCTTGGGCAATTTTCTTTCTTTCTTTTTTTTTTTCTATAGGGCGCGTGCCCTTGCCAGACCGAGAGAGAGAGACAGAAAGCGAGAAATCCCCCCCCAGGGGGGATGGCCACACCACAATCCCTTCTCCTCCATTCTCCTCTCGGGATCTTGGGCACGCACGCACACACACCCAGCGTGAGTTTAAGCCACCGGGTCGGGGACGCGAACTGCAGTCAACTACGTGGGAGTCCAGCGTCATAGCCATTACGCTAACTGCTGGTCCTGCTTGGGCAAATTTTTAAAAGGGAAAGAACTTGACTACCACTTGTCAAGTTCTGGTGTAGAATCAAAGAATATTCACTATGATTTAAAGAAGGTTATTAAAATACTCTTCTTGGGGGAGCCTGATCCCACATGGTCAACCGCACCATTGGAACCCCAGTCCCAGTGGCTTAAAAAACACTCCAGACATGCGTGAGTATGCTCAAAATCTTGGGTAGGGAAATGAAGGGGAGGGTATTACAGCATGATGATGTACCACTGGGGGATGCACACTCTCTCTGTCTGGCAAGGGTACACACTCTGGCCAAAAAATAAAAACCTCCCTCTACTAATAAAAATACCTATCATGGGGCTGGCAGGTGGCGTGGTCGTTAGGGGCTCTGGACTCTCCTATATGGTCGGCCATGGTTCGAGTCCCAGACCTGGCAACTTGCTTTCTTTCTCACTTTTTCTCTCTCTCTTTTCCTCTCTGGTTAAATTCAAAAATAGATAGATAAATAAAGTTAAATCATTCTTTTAAAAAAATATATCACTACAGATTGAATGTAGTAGCAGATATGAGAATTCAATTGTCCTTTTTTTATTGCTTGTTAGAGTCTTCCTGCCTCACAATCCTCCTCCCAAAGTGTCCTGAGTTGCTGGGACTAATGACACATTTCACAATGACTCACTCTTTCAGACAGTTCCACTCTATTATCCATGCTGGCTGTGGACCCAAAATCCTCGTGCCTCAGCCTCCAGTGTAGCTAGGACTATATCATGTGCCCCCATGCCTGGTCTTTTAGGGTGGGCCAAGAATTGAACCTGGGACACCTATGTGGCCTCGCTCTGTCAAGCAGCAGCATCTACCAGCCAGCACATGCTAGCGTGGCTGGGCATGTGGGTATGTTCTAGTAAACTAGATATTACCATTCGTAAAGTGATATAAACAATGCCATCCTTTTCATTATGTTTGTTTTTGTTTTGTTTGTTTATTAAAAGACTATATTAACATATAGTACGTTTATTATTGTTACTTTTGAATGAATTAATGTGTTTTAAATCTAACTTCTAATACAGTAACTATCAATAGATAAAACCCATACACAAAAGCTCTATAACGTCCCCAATCATTTTTTTCTCAATTTTTTTAAATGCTAGAAGGCACAAATGCATGCACAAGAGAGAATGAGAGCGGAGAAAGCACTCCCCAGTGAGCCTAGCGTGAAGCAGACAGGTCTGGGTCTCAAACCCTGTCAGCCATGTAGGATCCGGCCTTCTCTGCGCAGTGCCTAACCACTGAGCGATGGGGTTGATTCTCTCAACAATTTTTAAGTGGAAAGGATCCTAAAACTAAAAATTGGAGAAACACTGATCTAAGATATATAGGTTAAGGCAAATTTTCTATCAAATTCAAAAAAACAATAATAATAATACCCAAGACTAATAGACATAGAGAAACTGTCATTCTTATATACTGCTGAAAAAAAGAGTAAATTGACAAAGTAACTCTGAAGAAAAATTTGGCAACACATATCAAAACCTTCTTTTGTAAAAATGCAAAAGCCTGGAATCAGCAATTCTGCTTCCAGGAATCTATTTGAAGGAAAAATTAAAGATGTGACAGTAATTATTTTGCTGTGGGGCTATGCATCTATAACAGTTTATAATGATATAAACTGGAAACGATTTAAATTAGAAACAGAATTCAGCCATGACAAATTATGTTGTAGATGAAAAATTACTAGCTTAAAAATACATTAACATGAAATTTTAAAAACAGGTTATAAAACAGTATGTATAATAGGAATTCAATTTTATATAACTGAAACGATGTACCAAGGTATTAACAAATGGGTATTAATAGTGTCTGGGTGTTTTAATGTATTACTTATGCTTATCTTTTTTTTTAAGTTTCATTATTTTTTTAATTACCAGAAATCGTACATGGTTTAACAACAGATGAAACAATAAAAAGCTGCTTAAGAAAAGCTGCCACCTCGGGACCAGCAGTTAGTGTAATGGCTATGTTGTGGACTCCCATGTAGTAGATTGCGGTTCAAGTCCTGGACCCGGTGGCTTAAACTCACGCCGGGCACGTGTGCGTGCATGCCCAGGACCCCGAGAGAACAGAGGAGAAGGGATTACAACATGGCCATCCTCCCTGGGGGGTGATTTGTTTTCTGTCTCTCTCTGTCTCTCTCGTGAGCACATGCGCCCTATAGCAAAAAATAGAAAGAAAAAAAGAAAAGAAAAGTTGCCATCTCCAATGAAACATACCTTGTCCAATTCCACCTATGGTAGCCAAAGTCAACTGCCTGTTAAAGTGTATCCTTTGCTCACACCAGATAGGCAAACATCCATCCATATACTGAATCAACAGATATACTGATGGCCTTTGTTTATATACCTTGTCATTTGTTTATTTTTATAAAAATGGGATAACTCAAGACCTGTTAATATTTTCTTACTTGTTCAGATGTCATGGGCACATTCCAGTTTCAAGACACAGATTTCATTCATTCTTTACAATAGGTGCATATTATTTCATATATCTTATGTGTACCATAATTTACTCAGGGTTCTCCACTAGTTATTCAGATTGTTTTCAGGTTTTTATTAGGGCACAATACACTTGCCAGAGAGAGAGGGGGGCACTTTCTGGTTGGGGAGCGTGGTCACACCACAGCTCTTCCTGTTTCTCCATGGCGGGCACACAGGCACAGGTGTTTTTCAAGTCACTAAGGCTGGAACTCAAACTGTGGTTGGCCATGTGGGATCTGGCCTTCCAAGCACAGCACTTCACTGTTGCGTCAATGCAGCAAGCAATGCTCAATAAACATCTTTGCACACATATCCTTCTATCTGGATATGTTTTTATAGGCTAGAGTTTCAAAAGTGATTTTGCTGGGTATATATGCATTTTTAATTAGTACATATTGCTACATTATTCAGCAGAGTTGTGTGAGATATTGTATCCTCTGTCCTCATCAACACTGAATACAATTTTGCCAATCAGGTAATTGGTTGTTTTAATTTGCCTGTTCCCACCTGCTATGGGGGCCGAGGTTGGCACCTGTCTACTGACATTCCTGTTTCTTCTACTGATATTCCTTTTACTATTATGTGTCATGTAAATAATTATTTCTAAATTTAGAATCATCGTTCATATTGTATTTGAGAATAAATTCCAAATGAATTAAGTTTAAATGATCAAAAACAAAACAACAAAACTATTGATAGAAGATATAGAGTATCACTATAAACGGGGCATGGGAAATATGCTCAAGCAAACAAGATTCAGCAGTGATAAAGGAAAATTAAGCGACATTCATTTAAAAGTCTGATCTATATTTGCTCACTTTTCAATCATGATCAGGTCCTGCCTTGGGCTTAAACTGCTGGTAGATATTAACAAGGTCATCCTCATCCCAAGTCCTACGATAAGACTTGCAAAGAGCATCATCAGATGCAGGTACTCAGCTCACAGAGGTACACAACCAAACGCAGCTGCCTTTCAAGATGCCTGTTACTAAAAATAACGGCTATGAGCGGGCAGGTCGTGGTGGGGCAACGGTAATGCAATGTTGTGTGATGCTGGACTCACATGAGAAGGTCCCTGGTTCGTGTCCAGAGGTTTCCCTATATACACTCAGAACACACATGTGCTCATAATCGAGTTGGCTGAGGTTGGGGGTGGATCACAGTATGGGGATCCTGTTGAGGATGTCTCTCTCTCTCTGTTTCTGTCTCTCTCCCTCCCTCTCATGTCAGAAAGAAGTTTAAAAAAAAAAAAAGCCATGACTGGAATTCTAAATTCCCAGTGCTTATGTCTGTACCCTATTCACCAAGAGTCATTCCCTCCAATGGCATATTTACTTTAAGGTAGTCTACCCAAATATGGGACTCTTTAACATGGCACCACTCTGTCCAGGTGTCCTTCTGCCCCATCACACACGTTCCTTAAGAAAAGCTGCACACGACACAGCTACAGTATGATAAACGGATGGTAACTCACCTAAATGCGGAAAGAGATCAGTGTCCAACTGATGTTTCTGGGTGCACAGTTTCACCAGTCTCTGCAGTCGACTTATACAAGAGAAGTGTGGAGAGAAGGCTGTGGCTTTCATAAGGACCCGGTCAGTCCGGGGTGGGTCCACGGCGGGAGCCCTACTGGATGGCAGGAGGGGCAGGGGCCTCTTGTGGGACGACTGCCGTACTTGTGCTATAGTGTGTGTGGTGGGGGCCACTCCCTGCATTGGTAGGCTGGTGTTCTGAGGTTGAGGTGACTTGCAGACCGAACCCTGCGGTGGCGCTGGAGGTTTTAAAGAAGTGGATAAAGGTGACAGGTGGGAGTGCTGCTGCGGAGGCTGCTGCTGTGAAGGTGCAGGAGGGGGACTAAAGTGCTCTTGTCGAACTTTTAAAATCTCTGTCTCTCGCTGGCGCTGCCGATTCTGAGCCAACTTGCTCTGCAACTTCTTTCTCACAGTTGCCCCTTTCTTTAGGTCATCGTCTTCCTCGTTGAAAGCAAACGGGTCTTCCAACTCAGTTTCCAAGTAGTGGAGAGGGACCCTTGCCCCAGGTGGAGAAAGGGACATTCCATCCAGTCCGTTGGGCATCTTCAAGGCCAACGTGGGCACCGTCAGGCTGAAGGCCATGGTATCCATCTGGTGCCTGACCTTCACCTCTTCTATAGGATCATTCTTTTTCTTCCTCTCTTTTTTCGGGATAAAGCCAAGTACCTGCAAGTGGCTGTTGCAGTACCTTTAAAAAACACACACATATGTGGGAAAATATTCACGATGCATACTAAGAAAAGTAGGTATAAAAGTAAATATTATACAACATGAATCCTAATATGTTAAAAATTGCATGACTACAGCGGTAACTCAGACTTCATAGCTGTAACCTGCAACTCTCACTATTCTCAGGCAATCCTGTCTGCACATTTGCTGAGGGAAACTGTGTGAACTGCACACGTGCAGAGGCAGCCAGACAGAAGCCAGTCGTCAGCCTGTGAGTGGCCCTGGACAACTGCTCACTACTGCTTATCACCTGGCTTTGTTATTCTCCATTCACAGCATACAAAGTAACTCATCAGTAGTCTACAGGATCACTTAAAATTCTCTAAGGGAGAAAAAAACATATGTTCCAATAATACCATTTAAGTATTTGGCGATGCATAAAGACCTTACGGCATAACTCCCCAAAATGTCAAGCGTCTACTGTGTGCTTTACACACTATACCCCAGACACTTATAAATGGTGGGACATGGCAGGCCAGCAGGTGACATGTGGTTAAGGCACTGGACTCCCACAGGCCAACCGTGGTCCGAGTCCAGGAACTAATAGATTGCTTTCTTACTTTCTCTCTTTCTCTCTCTCTCTCAGGTCAAATTAAAATATTAATAAAATGAATAAATAAACGAATAAACAAACTTGGGGGGGAAAACAGAAGGAGAAAGTAAGAGAAAAAACTAATTAGTGGAATTATAGGTGAAATGAGTTTCTCAATACACATTATAAGGACAAAGATGATCTCTTCTAGAAACTACTTACAGTAAGTATCAAAATAATGCCCTTGGGACCAGCAGTTAGCATAATGGCTATGTTGCTGAACTCTCATGTAGTCAACCACGGTTCGAGTCCCAGACCCGGTGGCTTAAACTCACGTCAGGCACGTGTGCGTGTGTGCCCAAGATCCTGAGAGGAGAATGGAGGAGAAAGGATTGCAGCGTGGCCATCTCCCCTCGGGGGTGATTTCTTGCTTTCTGTCTCTCTGGCTCTCTCTGTCTTTCTGGCAAGTGCACGCGCCCTATAGCAAAAACTTCTCAAATAAATAAATAAATAAATAATGCCCTTGGCACAGATTAAGAAACTATGCTTTACAGAAGTTAATCAACTTAGGGAACCAGCAGTTAGCGTAATGGCTATGTCGCTGGACTCCCACTTAGTCGACCGTGGTTCGCGTCCCAGACCCGGTGGCTTAAAACTCACGCTGGGCACGTGTGCGTACGTGCCCAAGATCCCGAGAGGAGAATGGAGGAGAAGGGATTGCGGCGTGACCATCCCCCCTGGGGGGTGATTTCTCCCTCCCCAAAAAAAAAAAAAAAAAAGTAAAAAAAAAAAAAAAGAAGAAGTTAATCAACTTACCAAAACTACTTTATATCTGGAAAGTGACAGTGAGACTTAGACTAAAATCAAGATTCTCATCAGTCTCAAATAATGAGCAGGTGTACTTTTGCATATAAATGTTATAATTGAAACACTATGAAAGAATTCAGTACTTTTACTTAATGAGAAAGCAGAATATAGGCTATGCCAATTAACTACATGAAAAACTTATGGAGGCTTTTAACCAGTGGACCAGTAGAAGACTGTTACAGTCCCACAGCACGGTAACAAATATGACATAAAAACATTATTCTTTAATTAAATAAATTTGTCGTTGCCTATTCCTGCTTCATGTTTATTCCAGAGCATTTTGAATGAAGATATCATTATAAGGTTACAAGATGGAAATGTACTCATCTGGCCATGTTTCCCAGAGTTATTTGAAAACAGAATCTGTATACATTTGTAGCACACAGATGTTATCTCCACAGAACAGTTTAGGAAAAGATGCAGTACAATAAATAATTAATGTCAACTGCCAAATTCATTAGGCTACATTTAAAAAACAATTTCTTTTTTTTTAGTTTTGCTACAGGGTGCAGGTGCCCACCTGAGACGGACAGAGGGAAAGTGAGAAATCATCCCCCAAGGGTGATGGCCATGACAAAATCCCTTCTCCAATGTCCTCTCAGTATCTGGGACACACACACACACACACACACACACACACACAAGCGCGTGGC